GCCTCTGCTATCTTCGTCGCCGCTTCGGATATTTTTTCCGGAAACTGATTCGAATGTCAGACAAGCACATCTACGACTCAACAATGGCATCGCCGCCATCATTGCTGTGCAAATTTGAACAGATCCGCGGCACGGTCGAAACAGTCCTTGTGTGTAACATCCGATGAAACTCTTCAACAACAGTGAGCTTTGAGGAAAACAAATGCCAGACAGCATTGGTGGATTGGCGGAACTGCATAAATTTGCCATGCTCTCAGCAAACGGACCATAGCCAGTTGCATGCAAAAAGAACGACATGATGCTTTCGTATCTGCGGATCAAAAACACAAGACTCCTGAGATGCGCATCCTGCACATGTAGCAGAGCAACGGTCATTTGGGAGACCGAGAACACGAAAAACTTTCAAGCATGAAATCGAGTCTCAGCCTCACTGTTGGTGGCGATCGTTGATCTTCCCCTTCGTGGCTTCCGCCTCCCCCACAGGACACTTCCATGAAGTCAACAGCACATCGCCTTGCGACGTTGTTACTGAAAAACATGCGCAAAATGGTGACAACCAATCACCGGCACTTCACATTTGTGTATGAAGATGCACACAAGGTCCACAGATAAGGACTATCTCAGTAGTCCACAGAACGGCCAGCAATGTGTCATTGCCAAGTCATGAGGTTTCACCATTTTAATTATCATTAACGCACAATTACCCATTTGGTACAACTCTTGAATACAGACAAACTATTGAGTCATGGGATACTTTTTCCATGTTCCGCATTACGCTATCCCAATTAGAAGATTACCATCTCGGGATCATCCCACTGTAATTGTGAGAAAGAGGGAAGCGAATGCCTCTAACCAGAAACTCGCAGTTGTGGCGGCGTACGACCAAATGCATTTAATCAGAAGTTGCCCGCCCACAGTATCTCAGCAAGTTTTCAGTTGCCATTTGCATGCAACACTACACTGTGCCACACAAATAATCCCCACTGTCTAAATTTTACAGTTCAAACAAAATTGTGTGTCGTGTAATACAATACTTTGGTCTCGAGCACACCAAAGTGGCCATTGCACACAGTGCAATTGAGTGAGTTGGTGCACGGTGCAGCATTGATACGAGTGAATACTTACACAATGGGAACGAAGTCCACATATTCGGGAATATCGCACAATTGCTTTCCAACATCTTGGACGCAAGCGCTGGGCATCTGCAACCACAGGCAACCGACACATAATCAGTTTGAAATTTGCATGTGCGCGATTTGTGCACACATCCACAAAAATCAGTTTCAACCGACAATGATATTGCTTTAAACCAATAGTATCCACTGAGAATGAGAGCACGTATGGGATAAAAGTTATCGAATACACCCAATTCCAGCGTTACACCGGAATTTAAGTATCAGCGCTATTTGTTTAGATACCATGATTCTGCAGGATGTTTTGGAGCCACTACATTGCCAGGCGCAAGAAATTCACGGAGAACATTGCTGACAATGTATCCTGTGCAGCATCTGAGCTTCTGCTGCAGGTTTCCCTACTCCACCTGAGAAAAGACAACTCGGCAGCTCTCGTCGCAGCAGCCCTCCTTGATGTTCAAATCGGCAGCACAGTTCACCAAGTTGGTGAATTGGAAGTTTCCACACGTATCAGGAGCTTCGAGCGGTGCCAAGGGTAGTAGCCTATCGACTGCGGGAAAACAAACAGTCAGCTAGCATATCTAGCCAATACCACAGCTGCTGCATCAGCTGCACGCATTCGTACTCACCATCCACTTGTTGGTCCTCTGGGTAGGGGATTTTCGTTGATGCATCGCACGGTCCCAGGACCTGATAGGAACAGCATGGGGATGTGAAAAGATCTGATTGATCATATATCGACTTTTGGTGATCAGTCTGTGCAGATATCTGTACAGATCCCATCACTGCATTGGGGTTCCGGAATCAGTATGTGGCTTAAGCTGCCACTGTAACAGCAAGAGGCGATTCACTCCAGCAGAAACTGATGCTGTCAAGTCCCAAAAGGGCTGAAGAGGGGGATTGAAGATAGTGGTGGTGGTGGTGGGGTGGGCACACATGGATGAATGTTCTGCAGAGCCGTACACACGTGCAGCATCTCCAGCGCAAGTTATCACCATTTCTGTACACCTGTCCTTGCGCACTATAAAAATTGCTGTTGCACACAAGTATTATGAAAGTGATGAAGGGCATGCAGTGCTTTGTGTTGCAAAGCAACGCATTAAAGTATGACTTACTTGTGGCTGCCCGTTCTGCGAAGTGCCAATGGCATCGCAGGAAATCTCTCTGTAGTTAGGGTCGCATCTCCTCGCCAGATTGTTCCTTGATGCACACAACAGCAATCTTGTCACTGACAATATCCTGTTATGGAGCAACACCGCGGGGGAAATATTTCAAGTGATAGTGGGACAGCGACGCATGCAAAACTGAAGTGTCCTGAGCTGCCTTGGTCGTCTGAATGGTTGCATGCTTGTTTGTGAGGAAAGCAAGTGCAGCCACCAGTAAATACAAGGCGCCCATTCACATTCCACTACTGTACCATAATGGCAGTGAAAGTAGTCCATAGTAGCCCATAGTCGAAGGGAGAGTCAAGAGCATTGGTGCTTGGTTTTCACCACGATATGCTTTCCGTCGCACGGATTTGCACAAGCAGCTGCTTCTGCCGCCTCCCGTGGACCGCTCAGCCTCAAATCGCTTGCCATGAACAGAATGGCACAAAGGCATTCCGAAAATATCAAAGCTGGAAATGCAGACTTATGTCACTTACACTGTAGCTACAAAATCAGCGAATTCGGGAAGGCTGCAGAGGAGTGTGCCCACATCCTGGAAGCAGGCCTTGGGAACCTTGATAGCACAGTACATGATTGTGAGTGGCTGATGGAATTCCCACGGAAGAAATTAAGCTGAGAAAAAAAATGTGATGCATAGTAAACCAGAAGGTGATGTAATGTTTTGGAATCAAAATACTAAACTGAGCGCGCAGCAGGATGATTCTCACTAGTTGGGATGGATATCGAACAACCAAGCCTGGTCGCAAACGGAGTCGGTGTGTTATCATATGGGAATCACAAACAGGGAGCGTACCAGCTCGAAGACGTCCCGGCAGCTTTGGTCGCAGCACCCCTCCATGATATTTAGGTCGGCAATGCAGCCTCCCAAGTTGGCAAACTCAAAGCCTGCACATGTAGCCGGAGCTTCCTGTGCGGCAAGGGGCAGAAGCGTCGCCACTGGCGCGAACAAAAGCACTGCGTTAGACTCTGTTAGGCAGAAAACGGCAAATTCTGGCACATGTATTGCAAATCCACTCACCATCTTTTTGCTGGTCCTCGGGGAAGGGAGTCTTCGACGCTTCATCACACACACCGCCGTCCTGAGCATGCAGGCAAGCCAACCTTAGGTCCTGTTTTTGGGCCGTTTACTACAGCTGGGGTGGATTGACAGATGATGGGCCTACATCAAAGGATTGTTGGCTGCATCGCACTGCCTCCACACTACCCCTTCGGACTCAGCAACGCAAGGACTGCACATTCAAACCTGCATGGCATTTTCGCCGCTAGAGACTCTTGGAATATTTTAGCACAAACGGAACCGATGCCAACTGCGCCTTACTTCAGAGGTGACGCATTCATGCCACAAATAAGGACTCGGCAAGACTCTGTCAGTTTCTCCCACGCGCAGATGGTGCTGCTCGGATCACAACTGCCTCTCCATATGGAGAGGCAGTTGCGCACATGCATATGTCCCAAATTGCCCATGCACCAAATACAATGTTACACCGCACTTGTGACAAACCCATGCTGTGGGATCAAATTACTAGAGGAGGCAACTCAAAAGTCTGCATCTCAATGCACATCGCATTACTCTGCGCAACGTGATTGCTTACCTGGAGTTGTCCGCCATTCGCAACTGGACCGCTTTTCGCTGCTGCGCCATCGCCATCACACAAAATCTCGATGTAATCATCATCGCATCTTCTGGCAAGATTATTCCTGACAGTATGCACACAAGTGCATGAGTGACAGCTTCACTACATCCATTGACCACAGTATTCGTACACTGCATTGAAAGCAGTGCCGGTTTGAAAGAAGGTCCATCCCCACAATATGCATTTATGTCTCTCAATCGACAGTTTTTCCCTGCAGCAAGCGTCACGACCGTGAATCGGTGGGACTGTTTACAGCGCAAGGACACGAGCTCCATGTTCCAGACCACTGCAGTGCACCGCAGCTGCTTGCGCAACTTACACAGTGGCCACGAAGTCGGCAAATTCAGGAAGTTCACACAGAAGCTTGCCGAGATCTTGAATACAGCTCGAGGGAACCTGAAAGACACGCCCCCAGTTCGATTAGCGATTAACTTTTTATTCACGCCACTCAACACACTTTTATTAAACGCCACTAACACCACTTTTTTTCCACTGAATCCGAAAAATTGCCTGAATCTGCGTTTTGACTTCAATGGAATACCATAAAAATTCCATGGAATAACATATTCTTGTGTCACATACAAGTGATGTTTATTGATATGTATGCCAGCAATGAGGCTGTGGAAACAAGCCTGTAGAAATGGCCCTCCAAGCACAGCACTGTTATGCTGATTTGTTCGAAAATTATATGCCAAAGCAGTAAAAAGAGCCGCTATTAATGCCATCGCAAGATGGGAGCTAGCTAGCCTTGAGGACAACTACAGCCAGCAACACACCTTCGACGAGCAATACACTCACAAGTTCCACACCTGAGCGAATAGGTCTCTGCAGTTCGGGTCGCAGCAGCCCTCCATGATGTTCAAGTCGGCAGTGCATGCCACCAAACTGGAGAATTGAAAATCTCCGCAAGTGTCAGGAACAGCCAGATCCGATAATGGCAGCAAGGAAGTCACTGCAAGTTACCACACCATACCTTTCAGTACCTGCTGAAAACTTTACTTGAAATTAGCAGAACTCGCAGTTGGTGCACGGAAGACTGCAGTTCTTGCAGCAGTCCCACCGGTTTGGCCGTCTGAGGCTAAGGCATAACTTTCCAATGGGAATGAACCATACCTCTTGCAACACAGCATTGCGTGTTGAAAATGCAGAACTTTCTGCAAGAGGCCATTTGGTCATAGAAGAATTAACTACGAAGCAGCTGCATTGATTCATGTTGTTGTTTATGATTGGAGGCCACAATCACCAGGTGTGCGCGGAACAGATGTGCATCAACCATCCATCAACATGACAGATAGCATGGCCATTTAGAGAATCCCGGTCAATCCAGCGAAGAAGAATGTTCAGTTGAAGTTTGGAGCTGGGTCCTGCTGCACTTCGTGCATCCTGTTAAGGTGCCATTTGACCATAAAGTTCAAGCAAAAAGCCCGCAGCATTCATGGCCGACGAAAACGAATCTGAAAAACATGCGCAGCCAACAAGTGTCTTCGTCCTCACCATCTACTTGCTGGTCACTGGGGAAGGGCACCTTGGATCCTTGATCACAGGGTCCAGTGGCCTGCACAGCAAGAGATATTTTCGTTGCAATGATGCACATGTCGCTGCAAATGGCACAATGCTTTCCAAGCACAAGAGCACAATTGTCCTTCTCAGCGAACAACATAATCAGCTGCGTATCTTCAAGTTCCAGGCTTGATTAATCAGCAGTAAATATTTACTATTTCTCCGCCAAGGGCTTCAAATCCCTGTGCGCTGGTTGCCTGTGTATACACGAATTGGAATACGGTGGTCATGTACTACTTGAAATATTCAATTACTGTGCGATTATCGCATTTCTATCTTAGCCTCATCATGGCGCTACACCCTGTATCGCCCTGAGCGTGTTATGGGTCAGCATTCATTTGCAGCCCTCGAGTTACTGACAACCACATAGCAAACCCGTGCTATTGCGTATGTTGCATTGAAGCTCGCCATCAATAATTTTTGATCACAGCGTAGTAGCCAACACGTGGCAATGCACGGAAGTGTTCCGACAGATCCTGCAGCAGGCTAGGTTTATGCGCATGTGCCCCAAATCGCATGGTCGCTACAACAACCGCAAGAAGCATCTGGCAAGTTGTGCATCTGTATCAGCTCACCCAAGTGCATATATTTAAGAACACCGTTAACAAAGCTCAATGGACTCTTGTGCTATACCGCCTATTCACAGAGGACAAACCGAAGCCGTGGCCAGCAAACCAACACAACGCACACAGCGATTCCAGATCTTCGATACGGAAATTTGTGGACTTTCAACCAATTTCAACCGCCACCTGCGATGTGGAGTCTGTATCTGTGTCCCCTGCAGCAGTCCTGTCGGCCTTGCCTTCACACGAGAGCGGCTTGTAGTCCTCGTCGCATCGCTTTGCAACATTGTCCCTGGACACGTGCCACACGTGCACTGAGGAGGGCATCACCGCAGGGGATGGGTTCGTATCTCAGACATATCGTTTGCCCGTACTTACATTCTGGGGACAATGTCTGCAAAGTTGGAATCACTGCACAGCAGCTCCCCGAGATCGCTAGAACACTCCTCGGAGACCTGCACAAACAAAAGCCCCTCAAGTTAGCGGATGTGGATTCCATTTTGGATCAAACTATTTTGATATTGCTTGTTAGCGATCTCTGAAGCAACACCTTTTCACCTGGCAATCTTCGAACACTAAAAACCTTTGCATGCCATCAGTTTCGAACATCCACCCGTGCTCCCCAGCCATGCTGAGCCTGCTGAAAGCCTCAGTTCGCACTGGCATCCAGCAATGGAATGCTGGAACTGTTCTGCACCTTGCGAAACTGTCCAAAAGCCATGGTTGTCTTTAATTTGTAATCCAATGTTCCGAACTTGGTACTGCTCATGAACATTTGCCGCAGCAGAGCCTCCTCCTACATCTGCGCTCACCACCATGCGCGGACGGCCATAACTTTGCAAAGACGCAAGCGCTTGCGTATGATTAATACATTCGTCTACAATACACATAAACTGTGAATATACAACGTAGAGAAATTGCCATGCCATTGCCAACTTCTGCAACACGGGCGGGTGGCCACCAACATTGCACACATTGGCATGTTTTCTTTTTGATCAAAAGTGTATCTTATGTTTTATGGCAAAAAACTCCATTCAATGGATGCATCTGCTTGCATACAATAGTCGCAATATCTCCCACGGAGAACAAGTTGTTTAACACCTGGGAGAAGAAATCTCTGCAGTCTTGATTGCAGCAGCCTTCCTTTATATTTGCTTCAGGTAGGCACGCTCCAATGCCAGTGAACTGCAAGTCTCCGCAAGATTCAGGAGCCTCCAATTTTGCCATGGGAAGCAGAGAATCCTCTGCGAATGCACAGCAGCGAGTGCTCAGACAAAGTTTGCAGTTGATCATCAGAAGAACAGAGAGCAGCGACGAAACATCTTCATTTTGTAAATGCCTCACATGCACTCACCGTGTATTTTCTGGTCATCAGGGAAGGGTGTCCTGGATTCTGGGTCGCATGGAGCAGAGTCCTGCATCCAAAGATTGCGTCAAATGTGAATGGGCATTTCTCAAGCTCTCCACACCACAGTACCAACTTGGCAACGTTGGTGCATTCCTGCAAAAATGTTCCAGTACAATGTGCAATATCAACGAAAATCTTAGCCAAACCTTACAACACCATCCTGTACATCACTTGGCTATATCCAATCAATTGAGGATATGTCCCTGGTCAGTCATCAGATATATTTGATTAGCCAATGCTTATAGGTTGCTGGCATCAGCTGTACTGAGAAAAGGTACCTGATAGCATTGATTGCTACTGGGAAATTTGGGATGCACCCAGCTATATAAAACTGCACAATAATTGCTATGGCTGTTCCCAGGTTGACACATTTTGGCCCATCTACACAATCGACAATCAGAGATGGCAATGTGCACAACTCTCACACCTGTGTACTGGTGCCCTTCTTTCCAGCTTTCCCCTTTCCTTTTCCTTTTCCTTTTCCTTTGCACTTCAGTTTGGAGTAGTTGTCGCTGCATCTGCGTGCAATATTGTTCCTGTGCAGGAGTAGCATACAAAACAGGAATTCACTGACCACCAAATTCTTTGGCCTCTGCTGCTGTGTTATGGGAATGGTGATGTATAATCAGTAGGTGCTGTAATGGCACTTCTGGTGAAAGTAGATCTCGTGCCGTACACCACCAAGGCAAATTTCATTGCAAGGATGGTAGGGCTCGTGTTCCATTCTAATCAATACGGATATGCTCTCTGCACTGACGGCTAATACTGGAAAGGAACACAGTACGCCAAACGCAGGTACAATCTGCAAGATTCCACTGCGTTTGGCTGCTGTCCTATGTACCATGTTGGCATCACCAATTCAAGTATCTTTTCACACTCACATTCGGAGGACGAAATCTTCGTATCCAGAATCGCATACAAGCTTGGTGAGGTCCTTCTCACACTCTTTAGGAATCTAAAAGGCAACAGAACAGAAACATTTGTCATGTCTCAGTACCAGAATCCAACAGAGTTTATCCACATTCTGCACACAACAACCGCATTGTGGCAATGGCTATACCCTCGCGATAGTTGAGCATTGCTTAAATGCAAGAAATGTTGAACCCACCTCAAAGACATCTTTGCAAATCTGGTCGCAGCAGCCCTCCTCGATATTCACTTCCGCAGAGCATCCTGCCATTTTTGTTAATGGCCAGTCGCTGCAAGATTTGGGAGCCTCCAAATCCGCAATGGGCAGCAGCCCAGTCACTAGCATTCGGCACAGAATTAGCCAAAGTCAGTGAGCAGTGGGATTGCAGGTTTGCAATGCAATTGCTCAAACCGTGCCCGAGCTGCATTTATCTAGGGTGCATCCTGGAGACGCCAATCTGCTTTGAATATGTGAAACGATATGCTCACCATTTATTCGTTCACTCTCAGCGAACGGTGTCTTCGACGACGTTTTGCACTGCCACATGATACAAAAAGTCAGTTGGAAAATAGCTTATTGCAGTTTGAAGCTGTGGGCGCTGCACATATGGGGAACAGGCAAGTGGCAACTGTGTCCTGAAAACGGGCAGAAAGATTCTCAAATTGTAATTCAATAGAATGGAGGCACTCAGAATAATCCAAAAAATAGAATATCCGTTGAAATATAACATGATGGCAGAGCATCGATTAAGCAATATATTTTAGGCACACACTTTCACATAGCTTGTCCATGAGCTGGGATATTTGTTCTAATTCACCAAACATTGGCACGTTGCAAAATACCATCGAAAGGTCATGCAGAATATCCAAAATAATTTTATGGCAAATGCAGCCTTGGAGAAGGAATGCATCAGTGGCAGACATCTGTGCAGTACCTCTAGGTAGACGTTTCCCAGTTATAAGTCGGTGCATTGGATCCAATATAAAGAACACTGCAGTTCATGTGTGCATTATATGCTTTACATATATAAAGCATCTGACAGAATTTGCCGCTTCTGCTCAAACTGCCTTTCCCCATTTTTGCTGTTTCTGATACATATGTGGATGATCCGACAACGAAGAAGCTGTATAGCTAAATTGGACGATTCTAACCCCTCTACAGCATGTTGCTTTGTAATGGTTAACAGTGACTCCTGTAGACACAAGTAAGAAAGTTAAATTGGCAGACTTCAAATATTGCGAGCACGTTTTCAGCAAGTTTCTAACATTGCTGTTGAAAGGGAAAAAGATATGAAAGTGACTTACCACCTTCCCTTTCTTCCCACTCTTCTTGCAGACGAGTTCCTTGTAATCATCATCACACCGTTCTGCAAGATGGTTGCTGTGAAAATCCCACATTCATTTCACAGAAATTCAGCACCGATTTGTTACAAGTTGTCCTAATGCTCTGGACACGCCATCTTGCACTCATGCCATTGCAAACAGAGTTTCTGTTCATGTCACAGCATAGGAATGCACAACAACTGCGGCTGTACAGCGATTGTCCAATAACGGGGTACAAGTGGATGAAATTGGCGTATCCATCATGAATAGCGCATTTTCCCACGGTAATGTTTCCTCATGTTGGGTTTACAAACACTTACAGCCTGGGAAGAAATTCCGCAAATCCAGAGTCGCAGAGCAGCTGTGCAGCATCTTCCAAACAGGCCCTGGGAGGCTGCACAACAAGGGACAAATCATTCAATCCTTGAATCTGGAACCAGGTCTTTGGTGCCTTGCTCAGTATGCCCACAACAGGAGTACCAACTTTGCAAGATGTGAAGCATGGGCAGATTCAGTTACAGAAATTGCTTACCTTGAAAACGTCTTTGCAGTTCTGATCGCAACAGCCCTTCATCATGTTCACCTCGCTGGCACAGTCCATCGTGCTTGCAAACTTCCAATCACCACAGCTTGCTGGAGTATCTAACGTCGCAAGGGCCAGCAGCTCGCCCACTGAGGAAGAACACAAAAAAATTGTCAGGTGATTTTATCAGAATATATGGAGTCGACACAATAACATCAAACCAGCATCTTGTGCATGAGAAGTTTTTTTGGTGTTCACCATCGATTTGCTCATCATCTGGGAAGGGTGTCCTGGAATCTGGATTGCATTCGCCGCTGCCCTGCAGAACAGCACCACAACAGTGGTTGAAATCAAGATGGTCACGACAGTGCACATGCAAGAAAACAAGATGAAACTTCTGCTCGCTAAAGTTCCTGAAACCGAAGCACAAGAATTTTCATCGTGGTTTCTTGCATGTTCAAATCGCACAAGGAACTGAAAAATGGCACCAAAACTTGACTACGAAATGATGATCTTGTGTCTCAGCTGAAAATAACCACCATTTGCAATCCAAATGGATTGAACTACAACAAAAGGTTGATATCCGGTCTCTTTTCATTAGCCTGTTGAAGACTTTCATGGTATTCATGGCATTGTCAACAATTTGGATAGAAACATTGCATGTGACAACAGGCAACACGAATAGCTGCTTGCGTTGAACTGACAAAATTTGTTGGTGCATTAGTTAGTCTCGTGTCCTTGACATCAAATAGGACATAAGGCTCCTTTATCCTCCTCCATATCCCAGACATCGATTATGATATAGGACCCATATCCCAGATATCGATATCCTGGTTATGGATGCTGCATAGCCATGATGTGGGACCTCCATATACAGCATATAGTGGCAGAATATGGCCATATCCAGGATATGAGCACCCATATTTTAGAAATTAGCACATCCCAGATATGTGTGTCCAGGAATGGCCATATCCTGCGTATCTACATTTGGATGAGCACCGTTTACCCGATGTATGAGAACCAGTGTGCAATGCTGTTGCATGCACCCTGGCTTCCCATGTGATGTTTCTTATAGCTCTGCAGTGGTATCAGATAAAATATATGAGGTCTGAAATTGGAGCAACATTGTACATACCTGATCAGTTTGGTCTTTGCTCTTACATTTGACCTCTGTGTAGTCATCGTCACACCTTCTTGCAAGATTGTTCCTTCACCCCAAACACTAACATATCAGTTTCCGAAACTGAAACAGATGTCATCAGAATTGTACTTCAGCAGGGGGATGTCAGACAGCAGGAGGTTTGTTGAGATTTGGAAAGGATGTGTCTATGGAACCTCTTGTTGCCAGGTTAAAATGAGAACCAAATGCTGCCTTGCAGCTCCAATATTCTTTCTGCAATCAGTGCCATGATCAGTCAAAGGGGGAGTTTTCATCAACAATTCCATCTGTGGTCGCAGAATGGCAGCCCCTACCAGACATCAGGAATAGCATAATGCATAAGAGGAGACTTACACTGTGGCCACGACATCGTCAAAGGTGCCCATGTCGCACAGAACCTTTCCAAGATCCTGGATGCAAGTGTTGCTGACCTGGAGGGCCAGGCAGGTCACTTCTCAGCGCCCCAATATTACTCTCAACGAGCAAGTTTGCCACCATTCGCTTTCGCGGTGCAAAGTCAGTGCATCTGTTTGAGCATTCAGGTCACCAGTCGCCGTCATTTCTCCACTGCCTAATTCGCAATACAACTTACCTGTGAGAACACGTTCTGACAGCTCAGATTGCAGCAGCCTTTCTCAAAGTCCCAGTCGTCAGAGCACCCCACGAAGTAGTGGAATTGGAACTGCCCACAGCTGTCAGGAAGTTCCAACTTCGCCAAAGGAAGCAAGGAACTAACTGCAAGCAGACACCAGCATGAATTCAGAAATGCACACAAATGGGAAAGCCACAATTTGTTTTCAGGCCTGCAGCATCAACTTCGCAAATTATTGCCACTACCTCACCACATTGCGCACCTTGTCGTTACACCGAATCACAAGGCCAGTCCTTACATCGAACTCCGTTGAATTACAACCACTGTTCCACACGTGTGTGCACATTGTCCCAAAGTTTTAGATAACAACCGTTGCTCCATCACAGAGTGCAACATCCAGGCTTGATTCCACAGTACGGAGGTACAGTGGCTTGTCAAGTTCGTTGCTTTAGGTCAACACGCCCCACATGCAATAAATATATAGTAACACTTTAGAGAACCAATCAACGTGCCCCAATCCATTCTTGCTCAATATATTACCACAACTACATGCTTTACCATAACACATGCACATGATTCATTGTGCCTCAGGTGACTTGATGTGGATCAGAAAGGTTGAGAATGGTACTCAGTCACACATGTGACAATATCAACCTTCCAATCTCTGTGCGCCTTGAAGCCATTTTCACATCGCACTAGCAAGCTATCCCCCATTTGCACAATTCCCAAATGTGTCCAAATTGTATTAAAACGAGACTAATCGTGCATTTAGAGTTTAAGCCATTGTTTCCAATGAGGCCAGGCCATGTTTTCCCAACCACGTTTTGGTGCTTTGTTTCGCCTCTGCCACGTGGCACTGGTGCTGGGTGGTTCTGGGTACACCCAGCACAAAACTGTAGTCTTTCAAACAATTGATTAATGCCTGTAACCAATCATGAATAGCCAAAAAAATTACTCACCATCCACTTTCTTTCCATCAGGGAATGGAGTCTTTGTTGATGCATCACACTGATCCTGACGCATTGAAAGAGACATTTTATCAGAATAAATGGCAAATATTTACTTTCAGCCTTCAAATTAAGTGTGCAGAACTCAATTATTCAAGACAGATCCCCCTTGAAACATTGAATTCTGCACACTACGAGGTTTCTCTGCAAATGGATTCTCTCCAGAAGAACCGAGCCCATGTAAGAAATGCCTCCAAACTACAAAGTTCAATAGAAGTTGCACGCACTGCTTTTAGACATGGAAATGTAGCACAATTCTGGTTGACTCACCTGCTCTTCTTTGCTCCCACACGACAACTGGGAATAGTCGTCATCGCATCTCCGTGCAAGATTGTCCCTGCAGAATGCATGCCAAACCATTTCAGCAGCAGCCTTACAGGTTTACAAATCGGCACCAACAATGAGACCCAAAGCATCTACGTCAAGTGCATGGTGCACAACTTCTGTTGAAGCATAGATAGCATCGCAAGATATTGCGACTGTCATTCCCAGACTTGATGTAAGGCATTGTAAAGTTGCATGTTTTCTCGGCACAGATGGAACAAAGGGAGATATAAGAAGCACTCACACAATGGCGACGAAGTCCGCAAACTCATCCAGTCCGCACAAGACTTCTCCAACGTCTTGAATGCAGGCATCTGGAATCTGTAGAAAAATGCACAGCAGGATCAACTTACTTGAATGAACGCTGACAAGTTCCTTCTACCAAGATGAAGTCAATTCCAGCATTTTACTGGAATCGCGTATTCGTACAACATTAACCCAATCGTTAGCAGCTGATATCTTGCCATGATCAGCGCGCACCATGCCGCTGGGCACGAAACATACCTTCGAAAACACAGCCTTGCAGCTCTCGTCACAGCAGCCCTCCTTGACGTTCAGGTCAGTGGCGCAGTCCACCAAGTTGGTGAATTGGAACGTCCCGCAGCTTTCGGGAACCTTCAGCGACGCCAAGGGCAGCAACGAGCCGGCTGATGGCACCAAAAACAAAAAAACAAGGTCACGACGGCACACAAAACCAGCCCCTGCACTCGATGCTCGGCATGACCGCGTCCACGGGGTGCCCACCGTCCACTTGCTGGCCATCGGGATAAAGTTCCTTCGACGCCTGGTCGCAGGCCGCGGCGTCCTGCGCGCGAGCACAGGGGTCAGCCAACCAGCGCCGCCCAACGGCAGGGCACGCCCGACGCCCGCGGAATGGCGAATTCGCCATCCACCAAGCGGCTCGAACCGCCTAGGAAGGCACCCTGAAATGGCCGCATAGTCCCCCATGAGTCGTCCAGGCGATGATTCGCCCATGTGGGGCCGCAATTGACATGGGCACCCAGGGTGGCGCACATCGCGACAGGGCGGTGCATGCGGCCCCCACCCAACGTGACCAGCGGATTGCAACCCACTGGGGCAAGCAGGCTGGGTCTGCGCACACCGGCCGGCGCAACCGGGGATCGTCTGACCACCCGCGAAGGAGACGCCAGGCCGACTGGTCGGGGCACGGTGTGGCTCTCGGCAGGGGAGGTACCTGGGCTCGGGCGGGTGGGGGGAAAAGGGCCACCGCGCACAGTGCCGCGCACAGCGCGGCAGTCGACTGGATTCTTGGCCGATCCATGGCGCAGGCGCCCCCCGTCGCGGCAACGCGGTCCGGGCTGCCGCCCCGGGACCGATCAGCGCCGACGGGCGCGACTCGCGCCAATTAGTCGGGAATGGGTGCGGCCTTGGACCATGACAGGGCGATCGGGTGATGGCGCCGCTGGCCTGGGCTCGACATGTCACATCCGTCTCCAGCGATGGGGCGATGCACATATGCGCGGGCGCTCTGTCCTGAAAATCTGAACATGCGAAAAGAAGCGAGACTGCGATACCAGCTTTCGCGGCTGCTGGCGAGCAAGTTTTTTGATGTGGCTGGGGAGCCTGAGGCTCGTTAGGCGGGCACAGTGTGTTGCGCACCACGTGCCAGGCCCGAGGTGTCACTTTGGGCCTGGGAGGCTCAGTGGGAACGTACGCAAAAGGGCTGCGAGGTTCCTCAGGTCCCTCCAGGACGTTCGTATCTAGGATGTCATGCATGGGAGTTTCCATGTGATGATCTCACACATGATCTCCCGATGATCATGTGCACCGTCCCCGGGCAACTTTGGCCTGTCAACTCCTCGATATGCCCTCGTGGCGGTGCTGAATCGCGTCAAGTCGTTGGCTACGAACAAGCGCCTCAAATGCAGAATAACTAAGAGCGGCGACGGCCATAAAATCGTCTTGGCGCATCGGGGACGCCACACACCCCAGTCGCCGATGACGGGCGGCTCCCACGCGTCGCTTGCCACGCACCATGTTGATGTCACGGGCATGGCATTGGCATTTCATGGGCATGTCATGTGCAGCAGCCTGGCGAAACAGAGCCACACGAGGGCACATCCGCGTGGCACCGTCTGGGTCCAACTCCAATTGCCATGTTTGTGTCGCGCAAATTGGGTAGCAGCGCTTTCAAGACTTGCCCAAGGCCACAGTTTGCTGTCCGCTTCAGTAGCAATGGCTTCTCATTTGACAGAAATTGGTACAGGGAGCCGCCACTTTCATAACTGGATTATTTCGCCCGTGTCCTAGATGTTTGGAAATCGCATTTTTTGTCAACACCCTCTTTAATTAATTTCTTGATGGTCCGCTAACGGGCAATTTAGCGCCGGGAAGTACCTGCTGAACAGGCGTGTAGCACAGGCCCATACTTGGAAGACCCGAGACAGGAGGCAGCCCATAAAAGGGAGGGCCGCTGCGGCAGGAGTGCGCCAAGAACGCGCTGCGAGGCGGGAAGGCCTCCGGACCGCCAGGGAAAGGGCGCCAGCCGCCGGACGCCCCGCCGACGGCAGCACGAGGTAGTTAGCAGCGGGGCGCTTCCACGGGATGGCCCGTCTCACGGCGATTTTCCTTGCACTCGCGCTCTCCTGCCGCATCCTGCCCGCCCTCTCGATGCCCGCCCTGGGCCCCGAACGCGCGGTGTTCCTGACGGCCTTCGGCGAGTTTGAGGTCGGCTTCTACAGCGAGGCCGCGCCCAAGACGTCGCGCCACATCCTCAGGCTGTGCCAGCTGGGCGCCTACACCGGCAACCACTTCTTCAACGTGCAGCCGGACTACCACGTCCAGGTGGAGGGCGTGACCGGCGGGCGCCAGTCGCCGCTCAGCAAGGGAATCAAAAAGCTGGACAGGAAGCGCATGCCGCTCGAGGTGTCGGAGGAGCTGGTGCACGAGGCGGGCAGCGTGTCCCTGGCGCACGGCGGGGACCCGGACACCGGCGGCTCGTCCTTCGCGATCCTGCTCAACCGGGCGCCCCACCTGGACGGCAACTACACCGTCTTTGGGCAAGTGACGCGGGGGCTGGGCGTGCTGTACGAGGTGGAGGACGTGGAGACGGAGGGCGACGGGCCGGTGCAGAGGCCCACGGAGCGCGTGCCCATCTACTCCACTTATTGGTACACCACCGAGGGGGATGGCCTTGAGGCCCGGTGCGACCTGGAGTGACGGGGCCGGCAGTGCCGTCCAATCGCGACCTTGGGGTGGGAATGCCCGTGGATGGGGGGATGATGATGGTTGGTTGTGGGCTCGTGCGGGGCGCCGAGCGCGTGGGGCAAGAGCCTCGCCTGGTGGCGCCTCGACGGCCTGGTCGGCTGGGCATGGGAAAACGCGCCGCGGGGCGATTGATGTGGGACAGCAATGCAGGCGTCGAGGTGGCAAGGCGCTGTGTTTGTGTTGCCAGCTGGGTAGGATTTGCGACTGGTTGCTTTACTGCAGAGTGCCCTTGCTTTGTGGCCTGGTTGGATGTGTTTTAGATCTTGGCGGCGGCAGAGTCGAATGCCGAAAAGGGGATTGGGTCAAGAACGGTGTCGAGGCTGGGCTACACACCTGGAAGCATTAGCTCATCATGGGATGCTGGGACATAAATATAGCTAACGAGCCACTAGCGATTGTCCTGCTCTATGTAAACATAAGACGAAGTCGCCAGTCTCTGCAAGAGAAGGCACCACGCAGAGAGTTTTGAAGTGCACAGGCAGCCACTCACCCAGAAAGCTGACACAATCCTGTGGCCACTCTCCAAAGCCAAAGGGTGAGTGGGCCCCAATCATTGCCAGGCTGGATGCTGGGGGCTCTTGGACGGAGAATGACGACTGCGTTTCAGAATGAATGACAGTCACTGAGAACGAATGAGTGAAGATTCAGTGAGTGGTAGTGAACTGATTAAGAATTGCCTGTGCACTGAATGCCATCTTGAACAATTGGATAGCAAAAAAAGCATGCATGGATATGTGCTGCAACAAACATTGTTGGCCATAACGCCTGTCAGCGAGTCCTGCTTGAGTGCATTGTGTGCATGCTGTTTGAGTCCAGCTGCAGCCGCTTGTGCTGTGTGGACAAAAGGAATGCTATTGAAATAGATGGGCAAGGTGTGCCCGCAGAGGAAACGATTGGGGCAGGGACCAGCAGAATGTGCCTGTCCTTGCCAGCCACATTCGTCCACAGACAACAGTTGACATAAACAGAAGTGCTAAATGTGTATGTCTCCCTGTGAAATCCCGAGTCCCTCCCTTTCTGCCTGTCAGAACATCCTTGGAGTTGCTACCTATCCCCTCAACTGTCACTGGGCACCCACCTCCCAAGGGATCACAAAGACTTGACTTGACCACAGCGCCATATTGAACATCAGGAACCACAGCTCCACCGCTGACCACATGACTGCGCCTTTCCGTCCAAATCCCAATCAAAACTGTTGGCAAGAATACAGTATATGATCTACTAACAGATTAGAACGGTTCAGTCCACAAAGTTCAGTTCCCACAGTTGGTTTCAGTTGTTGCATCATTGGAATCCTAGGCTACACCAAATTCCACATCCCCAGACTTTTCCCTCCAATGACTTGAGGGCCATCCACAGTCTATGCACAACAGTGAGGGACTCTGGGAGCAGTCCTCAAGACCAGCCATCACGATCTTCTACGTCGAAGAAGATCAGCTGGTCACCAACACAGAAACCACATAAACCCTCATGGAACAGCTTCTCATAAGACCATCCCAAATGATGTAATCTGCTTAGATGTCCGATTTGCACATTTCATGCCTCACAAGAGCGTCGCCCTTATGGCGACCCCTCATCATGACTTCCATTCCCATCGTCTTGGCTGGTCCCTTCCACCCACAGCCCCAGCCTACTCCACCAACCCGAGTGCAGATGGACAGCTTGCAAATCAATTCTGCAAAGTAGCGGAACGACTGTGTAGACCACCCACCCCTCGACCAGCTCCAATGGTCCCCACACTTGGGCAACTGCATCTCCTCCAGTTTGGGAAGGTTGGCAAGGGCCAAGGAATTCCTGTCATAGATGATATTGTTCTGGAGTAGGTTCAGCTTGCGCAGTCCCACCATGCAAGCCAGAACGGGCGGTACCACCAGAAAGCTGTTTCTGTGCAGGTCCAGCACCTGGAGGGCTGTCAAGAAGCCAAGACTTGCTGGCAGCGAGGACAGGCGGTTGCCAGCCAGGTTGAGCTCAACCAGGTGGGTGAGGGAGCAGATGGTGAGTGGGAGTGTGGACAGGCCACAGCACGACAGGTGTAGCTCCCTTAGCAGCTGTAGCTCTACCAGCGATGAAGGCAAAAAGTTGCTGCTGCAGCCTGTCATTCGGTTGCCACAGAGCCACAGCACCTGGGTGGAGATGCAAGCCAAGAAGTCAGTACAACACAACCAAAGGGCAAGGCCTCACGGCAACAGCAGCCACTCTGACTGTAGACTGTCTCCCTGCATTGCATTAATTTATCTATCCTCTCTTCTCCAATCGATTTCGTTTCCTTCACAACAACACTACCATCCAGCTGTGAGTGCACACCCTGGGTTGAGAGACTGGACTGGGTGTGTGCGATCACCTGTGACAGAGAATCTGATGGTGGTAGATTGGGGCTTTGTTTTTGATTCGAAGCGACAGCCACTGTCTTTCATAACAGGCGTTCCAAGTCCACAGGTCAGCCCAGTGCCAACCAAGCTTTCATAGGGTGTTACACTGCACAGCAATGCTGCTGAGAAGCATATGCAGGGTTGAGGTGGTGTTCGTTCTAATTTGTTCGTTGCACAATGAACACAGCCAATGAACATCTGAGTCCATCAAACATATCCTACTTCACCACAAAGTGATCATTTCTGTTCTGTGCGGCAATCCTCCCATGAAACAACCAGTCTATGCTGCTTGCTGCAACTTGCCTGAAGCGATGTCATCAAAGAAATGACTGGCGGCACGGCGTCATATTCGCAGCAGCAAAACGAGAGCTCTTTGAGTTTGCTGAGCGAGGACAGTTCATCGGGGAGGCTCCTGCCTTGCTGGCGCCCAAGCTCATTCATTCCCATATTCAGAACCTCCAAACTGGGCAGCCCACACACCGATGTTGGCAGGTGCTGCATGCCACACTCCAGCATTGCCAGCGACTTCAGACGCCTCAGGTCTGATACGCTGGATGGGACACTCACGTGCCTGCACTTGCGCAGATTAATTTCCTCCAGGTTCGTTAGTGCGACCAGCGCCTCTGGGAAGCCGTCCAGCTCCATTTCGAGTGTCACGGAGGATAAGCTTTGAAGGGACGTGATCCACCCCAATTCCGACGCCTCTATTCTGCAATCGCCCTGCTCCCAGTTTCGGATGGAGAGCGTCTCCAGCCTTGTCAGCACAGACATTGCGGCAAACCCTTCCGGGTTCAGCACGTGTCCGCACTTCAGTACGTGCAAGCTCCGCAGAGTCTTGGAGAGGACCTGAAAGACGTGTGCGAAGTCCCCGGGCCCAAAATCGTGGCTTTCAAGATAGTCAAACAGCCTCAAGCGCAGCTCCCAAATGGAGGGCGCCCGATCTGTTACCCATTGGAGAGCAGAACCATGGCATATCCTCCTTGGTGAAGCAGCAATTGGTGGTTCCAGAGTCACAGAGCGCCAAATGGCGCTGGGTCCCTGCGTGAGTCTGCGCCAATGCTTGCAAACAAGAGGCACTGTTTCACACCTGCGAACAAACCACACGAGAAATGAGCGAAATCGTCTCCAATGTCTGCCTTTTAGAGCTGCTGGTGAGAGATGGGTTTGGGCTGTGTTCCCGGTAACGCCCCCTCTGCGCACCCTGGCCCACCACCGCAGGAATTTAGTGCAATTGCAACCGCATCGCATCGTCAACTGTCTTCGTCAAAGAGAGCCCACACCCCCCACATGCCGCCGGAGAGCAGTGCCCTGTCCGGGACATGCTGACATGCGGAGATCCGGGCCGACTGCGCCGAGCTGCTGGCCCTGTGGTCATCAGCAAGTGGCGCAGGTGACGCGAATCGGTCTTCCAGGGGCACCAAGCAGGCAGCTTCGCTTCACCGAGGCCTCTCTCAGAGGACCCACTGAGAGGGCGAAAACTATCCCCACCAATGCGGGGCGCTCGCCAGCCCGGTGCCATTCTCCCGGGCTGCCGACGCGCGATGACAGCTCAAGTCCACGCGGACCCGCAGGAAGCACCGCCACCCCCTCGTGCCCCACCGGCGGATAACGCAAGGTGGACGGCCCAGCAAGCAGCCTTCCAGAGCCCTCCCAGCACCCCTCCATAGCCCCACACTCCCCGCCTTCGTCCAAATTCTCAGGCGACGCGGCTCAAAAACGGCCGGCGCTCACCTGGTTTCAAAGTCCAGGTGCGCGCACACGCTGGCCAGGATGTCAAGCGGTACGCCACTGAAGCCGGCGGGCCGGCTGTCGGCCATGGCCCGCGCCTGAGCTGCTGCCTCCAACCCAGTCCCCCGCCGCGACTGCAAGCCGCCCTCCGCCTCAAGGCCGCGCAGGCGCTTGGCAGGGCATCGGGGGGCTTGGCTGCTGATCGCCAAATCCTTCGAATGCGAGGGGCGTGCGACGCACTCCTTGTGGCGCGGATCTGCCATGTGGGACCGCGCAGGACAGATCAGGACAGAAGGTGCACTGTCACGATGATCAGTAATCGGCGGCAACACTAATCGAAGACGCGCTGGGTCAGGTGGAAGGATGCGGGTGATGTAGTGCTGGGTCGTTGGCGCCGGTGCAAGGTCCCCGCCCTTCTCGTTGCAGCGGTCCGCACCGAAAACCAAGGTAAACGGTGGGCGCGGTCGAGAGGCCGGACAAAATCCCTGGTGGGCACGTGGGTCGAGGTCCCTGGCTGGAGGGCGTCATCCGGGGTAAGAACATCGGTCAAGCAGCGGAATGGGGTAATCACGGTACCACGGTACAGCGTACTGTCGCGCATGCGCAAGGGTGGGTCATCGTTGCCGTGATGGTAGGCCATCGTCGACTACAGGTCCAAGAACCACAGGGCTCCATCATCCCGGCCCTGAAATGGGTTTTCCAAAGGTTGGACCTGGCACAATCATGGCCAGGGGATGCCGCTGTGCAGCCGGGTTCCGCATCAATTATCCAGATGTTCAGTGTAAACCCTCTGTCATGGGCCGCCACGACGTTTGCTGTTGTAACATCGGGCAACCGGAAATCCTGATTGGCTGGTTGATTGGTTGGTTGGCTGGCTGATGCTCAGTAAACATCGAATTCATCCTGCTGCTAACACGTTGCCTCGTTTCCTGCCGGATTGGAATATGGGTACATTTTGTCATGGCAGATGCCGCACGCAGTAGATGTACCCACTGCGCGTTAGCCGGCCGTACCTGGTATCAAGGCTTGTGTTTCCTCCAAAGGAGATGATGTGGCTACCCTATTATGCAGCACAGTGTATTCACAACCCATTGGAGCAATGAGATCTGCAACGGGCGCGACTGCAAGAGCGGGCCACTGATCTTCAGCCACCATTCTGTGTGCGCATCGTAAATGCTGGGCAAACCACTATCATTTAAGTTGTGCTGCGCTCATCAGCGCATCGGGCGCCGGCCAGATTGACGATCAGGCAGAAACAACCAGCCCTCAGGTATTCTAATCCAGTGTTATCACAGTCGAGGGGGAATTCGGCACCCAACTGAGGCCAAGAAAACGAGAGCGTTGAGCGTGTGGACCCAGCCTCCAGAGCCAACGCGTCCTTGTCCTGGCAAAACCAGTCCACCCTGGACTTGCTGTATGATCACAGCAAGAGAAACAACCGACACAACCGGTTGGGGTACTGCAAATCAGGCTCTTGTCGAAACTTACACTACTACATAATGTTCAATCAGCCGACTGAACGGGCAGTACCACATAAATGCTCTTACAGTCTGCTAAAGAAACGGACTGTTGTTCTGTTTCACCGATAGCCCCAACCGTAGTAAATTCTAATTGCCACCCACAACCACGGCGGTGGCCCCCTGGAAGGAACAACGGAGAATTCCAAGAAGATCTGATGTGCACGCGGAGCATGGTGCGAGCTATTTTAAGCCCCCACCTACATGATTCGAATCTTATCTTTCCCGGCTAAACCCTCACCAAATGTAGCCCGTCGACTGTGCAGGAGCTCATGGCCACCAAGCTGTTGTATCATGCAAACGTAGCCTTGAGGCCCAGCTACCATATTCAGTGAGTATGGATGGGTGGGTATTACTCACCCATCTGTTCCATCTTCAAAGTCGAGAGCTAGGCATCCATGCAGGCCAATCGCACGCCATTTGCCTTGCGAAAATAGTGGTATTCCGTCCGTATATATGCCACGCCCAAAGATTTGCATTTTATCCTTAAAGCAATATGTTCAATTTTTGCACGCCTATCGCATGCCATGCATCAATTCACACACAGATTTCGTGGCGATCAATCCAAACCTGAATTTGTGACCTATTATTCCCAGCGCTACAATTAGCTCTTCGTACAATTGGCACATGA